AATTCTCATGCATAGCAAGTAATTGTGAAGACCATGGCCTGGGTCAGGTGCACCTTACTCTCTATACTGACACTGTTGCTTCTCAGTACTCTGGAATGGTCCCTGACAGCAGATTTACCTAATGCAGTTTGTCTTTTGATTTCTTAACTGCTGGTGCTAAGAGTGTTAATTGTGGAGCCGAGCAAGCTGTAAACTGTTAACAACCTCAATTTCTTCTCCATCTATCATGGTGCTGCCACTTGGCGGTAAGAATCTTTGTTTCTTGATGTTGACCTTTAATCCACATTGAAGACTACAGACCTTGACCTTCTGCAGCAAGTGCTTCAGTTCTGTGTCAGTTTATATATGTGTATAAATATGTTTCCCCCTTTCAGACGTGTGAGGTTGGCTCTAAAAATCTTCTCTAATATACTCTGAGTCTTGTGCAGGAGAAAATCTTACAATCCTGTTGGTAGTTAAATGAAAACCAGTCTGTGCCATTTACTCACAAGTTACTAAGTGAACTTATTTTCCTTAATTCATACTAACATTCTGAGAATCACATGTGATTGTCTCATTCATATAGCTTATGTTGAAAATTAAGCATAAAGTTAAAAAACATGCAAACACTTTTTGCTCATATTTTAAAGAAATGCTTAACAGAGAAACAGAAAAACTTAGATTGAGCCTAATACCCCTCTCTGACCTACTAGTGAGTGGTTTTCTGAGGCTGTAGCTTACACTGGAGGATCTTTCTCTTACTTATCCCTGAATGTCTTCAAACTGCCGCAGAGGTGCTGCCTTCACGTTAGCAGCACAGCTCTCTAGGATCCATGTGTTGTTGTTGTTATGTGCCATCAAGTTGCTTTCGACTCATAGCGACCCTATGTAAAACATCCCTAAACTCTGCTCTATCCTGTGCCAATCGCACCATCTCCGATACACCCATCCTGATTACCCCGGTCACTGAATCAATCCACTGTCCGAGTGCAGTGTTCATTATCTATCCCCTCTTTTACTCTTTTCCTCCCAACCTTGCACCTTACCCCTGTTTTATAACAGGGATATTACGTAGGAGTTGTCCTTTCGTGACTGAGATATTTCACTCAGCATAATGCCTTCCAGGCTCACTCATGTTGTGTAGTGTTTTACAAATTCGTTGTTTTTTAATACTATGGAGGCAGTCGCCAGAACAGAGCAAGAAAACACTGCCATGGCTCAAAATCAGGAAGGGTGTACGCAAGGGATATGCCCTATCTTCATACCTTCTCAATCTGTGCACAGAAAATATCATCTGGGAGGCTAGGCTCTGGAAGAAGATTGTGGAATACCAGAGGAATGTCTATCTGTGTTTCATTGACTATGCAAAGGCATTTGATTGTGTGGATCATAACAAACTATGGCTGACTCTGAGAAGAATGGGAATCCCAGAACACTTGATCATGCTAATGCGAAACCTATACTTGGACCAGGAGGCAGTTGTCAGAACAGAGCAAGGGAACACTGCATGGTTCAAAATTGGGAAGGGCGTACGCCAGGGATGCATCCTATCTCCATACCTTTTCAACCTATATGCAGAACAGATTATCCGGGAGGCTGGGCTCTATGAGGAGAAATGTGGGGTCAAGATTGATGGATGATTTATCAACAATCTGCGTTATGCAGATGACACAACCCTGCTTGCTGAAACTGAAGAGGACCTCATGCACTTGGTGCAGAGGGTCAAGGACTGCAGCCTAGAATATGGATTGAGGCTCAATGTCAAGAAGACAAAGATTTTCACCACTGGACCAATTGGCAGCATCAGGATGGATGGTGAAGAGATTGAGATTGTACACAGCTTTAGTTTGCTTGGCTCCACAGTCAACACTCTTGGCACCCGTAGCCAGAAAATTAAAAGGCGCATTGCCATGGGAGAGTCTGCTGTTAGGGACCTCTCGAAAGTACTGAAGAGCAATGGTGTCTCTCTGGAGACTAAGGTGCGTCTGATACAGGCCATTGTCTTCGCAATCACCTGTTATGCATCAGAGAGTTGGACAATGACCAAAGAGGATAGAAGGAGAATTGATGCCTTTGAGCTGTGGTGCTGGAGAAGAGTATTGAGAATACCATGGACTGCTAGGAAAACAAACAGATTCGTCCTGGAAAGGGTTAAACCGGGTGGTTCCTTGGAGGCAAGGATTCTGAGTCTCCGTCTAACATACTTTGGACATGTTGTGAGGAGAGACCGGTCCTTGGAGAAGGACATCATGCTTGGTAGGGTGGAGGGACAGCAGGAGGGGAAGGCCCTCTATGAGGTGGATTGATTCAGTGACTGGGATAATCGGGATGGGAGTGTCAGAGACAGTGCGATTGGAACAGGACAGAGCAGAGTTTAGGGCTGTTGTACATAGGGTCGCTATGAGTCGCAAGCGACTCTACAGCACATAACAACAACAACATTGAAGGAAAACTCATCAGCAACCCAAGTTGTACAGATGAAACAACCCTGCTTGCTGAAACTGAGGAGAACCTGAAGCGTTTGCTGCAAAAAGTAAAAGACTGTACTCTTCCATATGAATTGAAGCTCAGCATCAAAAAAACAAAGGTTCTCACCACAGGGCCAATTAGCAGCATCATGGTAGATGGTGAAAAGATTGAGGCTTTTAACAACTTTAGTTTACTTGGATCCACAGTCACCACTTTTGGTACCAGCAGCCAGGAAATTACAAAACAAATTGCATTGGAAAAGTTTGCTGCCAGACCTCTCCAAAGCACTGAAGAATAGCAGTGTCAGTCTGGAGACTAAAGTGTGCCTTATCCAGGCCATAGTCTTCACAGTTACTTGCTATGCATCAGAGAGCTGGACAATGACTAGGGATGATAGAAAGATAATTGACGCCTTAGAGCTGTGGTGCTGAAGAGGAGTGTTGAATATGCCTTGGACTGCCAGTTTGTTCTAGAGAAGGTGAAACCAGGCTGCTCCTTGGACGCAAGGATTTCTGTGGCTTCATCTGACATACTTTGTGGATGTTGCAAGGAGGGACCAGTCCTTGGAGAGGGACATCATGCTTTGAAGGGTGGAGGGACAGCACAAGAGAGGTAGGCCCTCAATGAGATGGATTGATTCAGTGGCTGGGGTAATGAGGGTAGGTGTGTCAAGACAAAAAGTTTAGCACAGAATAGATCAGGTTTCAGGCCTTTTGCACATAGGGTCGCTATGAGTCACAAGCAACTTTACAGCACATCACAACAACAACATTACATGTGTGAATGTACCACAGTCTTTCTACCTGTTAGTTAGTTAGTTGATTGGCAGTTGGGTGGTTTCTATCTCTTCACTATTATGTGTAACACCACAATAAACATGTGTCTTGCTAAAATTTGTTTGAGTTGCGGTTCTGGTTTCTTTAGGGTGTATTCCCAGTAGTGGAATAGCTGGGTTAAGTTTTATTTCTGTTTACAACTTTTAAAGTAAGTGTCAAAATGCCTTCCATAATGGTTGTACCATTTTACATTCCCACCAGCAAGTCAATAAGCATTCCAGTTTCTCCACACCCTCGCTACCATTTGCTGTTTGCTGTCCTGCTACACTTCACTATTGTGGCGGGATGAGATGGTATCTCATAGATGTTTTGATCTGATCTCTCTGCTGGCTGAGATTTTAAATATTCCTTCATGTGTTTGTTGGTCATCTGAATGTCATCTTTGGTTAAGTGTCTATTCATATATTGAGCCCATTTTGCAATTAGGTTTCTTTCGCCCTTTTCTTGTTGAGGAGTCTCTTATTAGATATAACATTGCCAAATATATTTTCCCAGTCTGTGCGTTTCTTTTTTACCCTGTTGGAGGTTTTTGATGTGCATAGGGATTTGATTCATAGAAAGTCCCATTCATCAATTATATTCTCTCCTGGTTGTAGGTTATTCATTATACTGGGGAGTCTGTTAATGCTGTCGACTGTGTCCTCTAAAGTGGTTCCTAGTTTTTCTCTGATGAGTCTTTGAATTTACACCTAGGTCCCTGATCCACCCTAAGTTGGTTTTTGGGCCTGGTGTGAGGTATGGGTCTTGCTTACCTCTCCTCCAGATTATATTCTTCAGTGTCTGAATAGTTGGGTCAATGAGAGTTGAGTAACAGCATCCTCATTTTGAAGTATTGTTCAGAAGTTAAAAAGGAAAAGTTTGGCACATAAGTTTTAATATTTTTCTTTAGTTCATAAAGGAAAAGCTACTGTTTTGTATTGTTTACTTTTTTTTATTGTTTACTTTTTAACATTTTTTTTTATGGCAGGGATATTATAAAACTCTCACTACATAAAAGATTTTAAAAGTCTTGTTTGTCTAGCAATCCAGCATATCTCTGGGTTTCTTTAGTGGTGAGACTATTATCCTTGCACAGGACAGGTGGGCTTAAATGGCAGGAACATGACTAGAAAGTACATGTTATGTATGTTTAAGTCAGCATGTTGCTCGTGACAGGCGCTCAATGGTTGTTGGTATCCTTGTCAGCAAAGAGAATCATTTGACATTAAAGTCGCCAGGCCAGTCCTGATTTGGGGTGGCTCTATTGGCAGTTCCATCAGGCTGCAGCTGATCAGTGAATGTCAGGGCTGCTGCTGGTCTTCAAGAGTGTCACCAGCCCTCTGAATTTTTTTCCCTCCTACTGCCTTTTCTCTCTCTCTCTCTCATATGGTTAAGAGGCGTGGGAGATTGGTTTAGCCTGGCGTTTTGTTCAGTCTTAACTTGACTTTAAAATTTACCTCTGGAAAGTGGACCAGAGGTCATAAAGAATATCGGTATCTTTGAGGGCATGCAAACCCCATATACAGTATGATGACTTAAGTGCAGACTAGTAGTGATTACCTTGACACCAAGCCAATCAATGACTGGAACACCTGGGGACTCATTAAATGGCATTTGTGGTGTCTGTAACCTAGGTTTTGAGCTGTGTTTCAGGAAAAGCAGTGACAGCCTTTAATGTCTAATTGACCTCTTTGCTTCACTTTCCATATTTGCCTCTGTCATGGTCCCCGATGGCAGCAAACAGCACTGCTCAGCATTTTGAACTTCTGCTCAGAGCTTCAGCACCTCAGCCTGGGTAGTTGTGTAATGGTAAGTATTGGAAAACTCTCTGTGGTTATTTTCTATCTCTTTTTTTTTCTTTCTGCATTGCTTGTGTGAATTTTATGTTCCTTTCCTTGACCCACTCTACCTACTCCATGTAGGTAGGAAAAAATTCAAGAATTTTTCATGTTTGTTGTTGACTACTTTGTACTCCACTTTCAGACAGTCTTCTTATACTGGAAATAATATCTATGAAATAGTAATATTATCCGTGACAACAAGGTAAGAAGTACCATGTGTTTAAAACAATTCCAATTTGCCTCAAGCCTGATACTTTCTCATATAGTCTACTTAACTTTTGACTTCTTTACAAAATAAGATACAAAAAAAACCCCAAAAAACCCTGAATAAAACAACCCAACAACAAACAATGCATTGCCATAGAGTTGATTCTTACTCAATAGCAAACCTGTAAGGACAAAGTCAGTCCTTACAGAAGTTGCCACATGTTTCTCCCACAGGGAGTGGTAATGATAGTTTGAACCTCTAAGCATTTGGTTAGCATCCAGTACTCCTTAACTAAGAGATCGGTAAGCCCCAAATAACAGTAGTTTTAGTGAGTTTTTCATAAAACGAAATTTAATTTTCAAATTCTGAGATTCCTATACACAGAGAGAAAAATGCTGCTGCTGATTTTTTTTTACATGCCTTCAAGTAAACTATTACTTATAGTGAGTGACCCCTTGGAAGCAGGAGTGGCATCCACTTCCTAAATAACATGCCTCTGGAAACTCTGTGAACTTTGATAAATGTCAGTGGCTTTAGAGGGGCTTCAGGTCGTTTGTTCTATGGTCACTATGAGTCATGCTCGACTCGAAGGCAGTCAACAACATAATGACTCATGAACAGATCAGACCTTGCTTTCCTTAGTCTGCAACATGTTTGAGCCCATGATACAGTGTTATAGTTGCTGTGTCAGGCCATCTTCTTGAGGGTCTTCCTCTCTATCTCTGTCCCACCATCTTTCCCAAGATGATGTCTTTTTTATGTTGTTAGGCTCTTCCTAACAACATAGTCAAAATATGTGAGATGAAGCTTTGCTGTCTCTGCCTCTAAAGAGCACCCTGGTTATACTTCCTCCAAACAGAATTGTTTGTTCTATTGACAGTCCATGATGTATTCAGTATTCTAGCACCAACATTCAAAGGCAGTAGTTCTTTGGTTGCCTTAACTATTGTCCAGCTTTCAGACACCATAAGGTGATGTTGTTGTTATGTGCCATTGAGTCACCCGAAACTCACAGCGGCCATCTCTCTGTACAGCAGCTCTGAAGCCTGCCCTGTCCTGATCCTTTCCCCAGTACTTCCTCAGACAAAAATCTTTCCCTGAAGTGAGTAAATGAGATTTGGACTTACATCCTCCTAAATGTGAGGCATGCATCAGTGTGAAAGACCAAATGCAGTGCATGGTGCAAGATATCACAGAAGTGACTTGTGGCCTAAGCCATCATATCAAGGGGTGGTTGAAGGAGGGAGGTGCTGGACTGGGTAGGTGCAAGTGCAAGGCATGCAGATGTAGCAGGAAAAGGGAAGGGACAAGACACATGCGCTGTGGTGGAGGGACACGGAATGTATTGATCATTTGTGTAAGGAAAATGTCTTTCATCTGCTCTTTCAGATAAAATGCTTGTCTGACAGGTATTGTTCTAAAACTAATTAAGGCAGACTAGGAAGAAGGATTGGCCATCCACTTCTGCAATAACAGGCCATCAAAAACCCTATGCACAGTAGAGTCCTTAGACGTTGATGTTAGTAATTTATTATTTGTGTTTGCTTTAATAACCTTACTGGCCACAGTGAAAAGACTGTTACTCTGTGGAATCCAATTTTTACTTTTATGGTTTGATTTTTTTGTTTGTTTTCTAAGTTTTTGAAAGTACTTTTCCATGAAATCTCATTGTTTAGGGACTGTTAGATTACATAATCTTTAAAATGCCTTCCTGATTTAAAATTAAGATTGTATGTGTTCAATATCAGCAGTCTGTCTGGCCTTCCACCTAGGCCAGGGGAAGACTGTGGGTCAGACTATTGATTACTCATGTACAAGTTCAATTTGAGGCCGGAGAAAATGAAAGCAAGTTCACAAGAACCAAAGTATCTTGAATCTGTTCCATATGAATTTCAAGATAATCTTTAAGAATAGGTTTGAAGCATTGACCACCAGTGATCAACGACCAGATGAGTTGGGGGATGATATCAAGGATCAGTCTTTAAAATCCTAATTCTGACCATCCTTGTCATTGTTGTTAGTTGTTGTCAAGTTGATTTTAACTCACAGCAACCCCATGTGTGCAGAGTGGATCTGTTCCATGGGATTTTCAAGGCTATGACCTTTTTGAAATGGATTGCCAGTCCTGTATTTATCAGTACGGAACCCCTGGGCAAGTTTGCATAACTGAACTTTTAGCTAGTAGCCATTTACATCATCTAGGGACTCCTACCACCACCCCTAAGGTCATACAATACATTTGATATTATGGTTGAAACTGAAGCTCTAATAATCATATCTCTATGTCAGTCAGGGTATAAGAAAGGAAATTTTCCAGAAGTTGAATTGTCTACAGGCTTATGTCTTATATATGCACTTACTCCTTACCTGCTCACTCAGTGCTCAGAACCAACTCATAGCTGACCGTCCAGCAGGTTTTCAGGGTCTATAAATTGCGTGAGAGAAGACTGACACAGGTAAATGTCAACCACCTTTGAATTAGCATTTCAAAACATGTGATAAAGTTTGCAGCATGAAAAACTGGGGAATACAATTTTTGTTCTGGCTACCCACAATACATTTATGTAAAAAAGAAAAAAGGAATGAAAGTTGTTGTTAGGTGCCATTGCGTCTGGTTTTTACTCATAGCAACCCCATATAACTATTAATTTCACTCTTTTCAACTTAGATTCTAATGCCCAAATCTGCCCATAACTCCACATTAATCCAGGTCTTCGTCATCTCTCCTCTGAACCATTTCAGATCTCTCGTCTTGGCTTCTTCTCAGCTATTATAGTCCGTTCTTGAGACAGTGACCAGAGGGACTTTTGTTCTAATGTAAATCTCACTGTGTCACTCTCCTGCTTACTAGCCTCCATTGCCTTTATGTAATACTTAAAATAAAAATCTAAACTTCTTCCATGGCATAAATGACCTGGCTCTTGCATGGCTTCACCTCATTATAGCCTATCCATTCCCCTCACAACCTTTGGCTCATATGTAGGCAGTTGACTGCTAACCATAAGGTTGACAGTTTGAGCTCCACAGGTGAAAGATAAGACAATCTTCTTCCAAAAAATTTTACTCCTGGGGACTCTAGACAGTGCTCTACTCTGTCCCAAAGCATCTGAGTTGAAATCGTGTTGACAGTAGGACCCTTGGGCTGTACAGATCCTTTCTCTGTTCCTTGAATGCACCGGGATCAATATTGTTCTAGTGTCTTTGCCTTTTTTGTTTTCTCTGCCTTCAGATCTTTTCATGACTGACTGTCTTCATGCATCTCTCAAGTTAAATGAAGCCTTCCTAGAAGGCTTCTCTGGAAATCCCAATAACCACTACCTTCCTCTCAACTTCTCTCACACATCACCTTGCCTTACTATTTTCACACCACTTATCAGTCTCGGAACTGGCTTTAAGGGAGTTCTGGTGACCTAATTAGTAGGGGGATTCATCTTTGGGTGATGAGGGAGAAAGGTACACAGTCTCCTCCCATATGAAAACCCACTAAAGGTTCAGCTATGAGTCAGTTCCAACTCAGTGGCAATGAGTGAGTTAATAAGTGAGTACACTAATTTGTCTTATGTAGTTGCCTGTATATCTTTTCCCATATGTGGGTAATATCTTTGTTTTTGCTTCACTGCCTTTCCCACCATCTAGACTGGTTTAGCATGTAGTAGATGATAAATAAATTAATAACAAAATGAAGAAGAGACATTAAATAGTCAATGAAAAAGTTTATTGTGTTTCCTCCTGATTTCTGTAATTTTGACCCCTGCTTTATATGCATTTTTTAGAAGAAACTATTTCAAGAAACAGAACGAAAGCATATAAAGCCCAAGGACTAAACTGTTTGATCCTGGCTCAGTAGACCTTTATCCTATGAAATAAGTTATTGAGCCCCACGAATCATGATAATAATTAACATAACCTAAATTACTTTAGTGTCATATATCCAGTTCCCAAATTTCTCCTTTAACCCCAAATTAATATCCTTGTTAGCATTTCCGTTAGTATTTTAGAGGCTAATAAAATGCATACCTTTTTCAGAAAGATATTATATACCTACCAACATTTATTAATCTTGTAGAAAGTAGAAGGAACTCAAACTAAAAAATAAAAATAAAAAACTGCAGGGTCAAAGTGGTAGACATAAAAGAGCTATATATAATCCTCAAATTCTTTAGGAGAGACTGAGGATTTCTGACTGCTTTTAGACAACTCATTAATGCCCTCTGGAATTCTGTTAAATGGATTTTTTTAAGTAAATGATTACTCTTGCTGTTTTATGAAACAGTAGCAGATCTGTGAGCCTGTGTAGGCAGATCTGTATTAAGGAGAATGTGGGTATGTTTACATGAAAACAAATAGTGGGAGATGATTAAGAATGTTCTAACTTGGTATAAACACTTTGCATTTCTGAGTATGAAATATAAGCGACTGGAATTGTTTCATTTCCAGATCGAAGACTATGATGTGATAGCTAGCATGATAGGAGCCAAGTGTAAGAAACTCCGGACCCTGGACCTATGGCGATGCAAGAATATTACTGAGAACGGGATAGCAGAACTGGCTTCTGGCTGCCACCTTCTAGAGGAGCTGGACCTCGGCTGGTGCCCCACTTTGCAGAGCAGCACCGGGTGCTTCGCCAGACTTGCACACCAGCTTCCAAACTTGCAAAAACTCTTTCTCACAGCCAACAGGTCTGTGTGTGATACAGACATTGAAGAACTGGCAGGTAATTGTACCAGATTGCAGCAACTGGACATATTAGGTAAGGAGACAATTTATAAAGTAGAGCCTGTTTCTTTGGTACAAAATCTAATTTAAAGCTTTCTGCAATAAAAACACTTTTTTTTTAAACGTCTATGTTCAATAGGAAATGCAAGATAGAGAAATAGGTAGATAGCAACTACACATATACTTCAGTAAAATAGGAATTGAAACACTACCAGCAACATTTTTTTTAATTTTACATGAAAAATAGAGATCTTTATTTTTTTAAACTTGATTTTTTAAAAATTAATTGTAATGAAAGTTTACAGAGACGTAAGGTTTCCAGACATTCATTGTTGCACTACCAGCAACAATTTTCAATACTAAATACAGTATTAGTCAACTGAATGTACCAGAGCTTGTTCACAGCCTTGAGAGCAATAATATAATTTTATAGGTAAACCTGTCAGGAAGTTTTAAATATCTACCTTCCCTTCCGCCACCCATGACATAAAGGAGAATCTAAATGAGCTTTGTTCTTCATTTTCCTCAGTGCTGGAAAACATGAAATTAATTTATTTATTTAATGAATTCAAGTTAGATAAGAAATGTTTCTTGATGTTAAACTCTTACTAAATAATATTGTAACATTTCCTTACTGATAATCCTAACTTTCAGGAATAGTTCAACCTCAGAGCAGAGTTTTTGAAAACCTTTTTCAGTTCTGGGATTTTAGTTCTTGTCCTTACTACATTCATTAGCAAGGAAACCTGGGGGCTGTTGTTATGTTAGCCAGAGCGTATAGCCAAACCACAGCTATTGCTCACACAATCAGTGTTTACACTTGCACTAGGTCCCTTGCTGTGATCCCTTAATCTCCCAGGAAGTGCAGATAATAAGTTCACAAAATACAGATATGTAGATAGACTTTTCTAATTTTTTGAAAGGAAAACCTGAAGATTTTCAGCACTTGTGTTTTTAGTTGCAACTAAAACATCTGTACAGTCAAAATGTATAATGTATTTGTGAATGGTATGTAGTAAGTAAAACTAGGCAGAAGTCCTTGTGTGCCTCTTGTATGTCTACTTTGGGTGAGATACTTCAGCTGTATTATAATTTACTTCATCTTCCCAGCTGAGGTAGTTGGATATTTTTGTCCTTTCATAGATGAGGGCACTGAGATTCAGAAATTCAGAGTTCCCAAGAATTACTTCAAGCCAGAGCAAAGGTTGATACTCAAGGTTTGGTTTGGTTTGCTTTATGCCTGATCAGTACTCTTTTTTGATATACACACCCATTTACTTTATTTCTTTCCTACTCCAGTTCTTCCCCAGATTAGTCTAGAGAACTATTTTGTTTTGGACAAGTTTAGAGTCATTGAGGGCCTTTTCAAGTGGATCACTGATCGCAACAGGCTTGACTTAAGGGCATGATGCTAGTGTTGATTAAACTCTGTTTTATAACTAACTCCTAAAAAAAATTAAAAAAAAAAATCACACATTAGTTCTACGGAGCTCTGGTAGCAAGGTAGCTAAAGAGCCCGTGCTGCCATCCTAAAGACAAGTGGTTCAAATCACAAACTGCTCCAAAGTATTTGAAAGAGAGGCATTCTTCTTCCTCGCCATTTACAGCATCCAGCAACCTGCTGGGGGATCAGCTATGAGTTGATTCCAACTTGATGAGAAAGTTGTTGTTAAGTTGGCATTAGATTTGAATGGTAGCCAGTATCGGGAAAAAGTTCTTTAGAACAACAAAGAAAGCAATAAAGCTGACCTAAAACAAATTTTTATGTGTTTGAACAATGTGGAAACAAATGTGATGAATAATGAAGTTGGTTGTGTAATAGCCTAACCTTGAACTGGTAAATATATTAATTATTTTACACAGACAGTAGAGAAAAATAGTTAAGACATATCATGATTTTTTTAAGTTGCTTCTTTTTTGTTGTTGTTGAGAATATACTCAGCAAAACCCAACACCGACATATTTCAACATATCCAATCAACAACATTAATTACATTGATTCTTCATGTTGGACAACCATTCTCACCCTCCTTTTTAACATAAATCCACTGTGTCCTAAGTATCTTTCTCTAGCTGCTGTTGTCAATTTAACCCATGTAGATAATCTTCAAAAATCTTAGTGCTCAAGGCAGACATATTTTACTAGTTAATTAAACTGTTCGTTATCTTTAAGAAGCCTTCAGGAGATATATTTTGCTGAAGGTTTAAGGGTTATTTTTTTGTATATTGTTTAATGTTTCTGCATAGAAAAATCTAGTTTCCCAGTACCACTTAGAGAATAAACTCTTCTTTCTTCATCAGATAATTTAGTGCCCTTGTAAAAAATTGGCTGACCACATGTGTGAGTTTGTGAATTCTTACTCTATCTCATTTGTCTTTGTATCTATTATTACACCAGCATCCGGCTGTTTTGATTACTGTAGCTTTGTATTTTTCAAAATTAGGAAGTGTGAGTCCTCCTAATTTATTCTTCTCTTTCAATGTTTTTTTAGATATTTGGGATCTCTTTCCATGGTCTAAAAGGTGACAACTGGTCTTTCCATTTCCATTTAAAAAGCTGTTGAGATTTTTATCTGAATAGTATTCAATCTATAGATTGCTTTGGAAAGTATTGACATCTTAGCACTGTTAATTCCTTCCATCCAGGTACATGGGGAGACCTTTGTGTTTAAATTTTCTTTAATCCCTCTCAGCTGTGTTTTATAGTATTTATTGTTTAAGTCTTTCACATCTCTGGTTACATTAATCATAGGTATTTTATTCTCTGAAATTCTGTTGTCAATGAAATTGTTTACCTAGTTTCGTTTCAGATTTGTTTTTGCCAGTATACATGAACTAAAGTAATTTTTGGTTTTTGATTACATAGTCTACCTTTGCTAAGTCCCTTTATTACCTCTAAAAGTCTCATGTCTCTCTTAATAGTGATAATTTTACTACTTTTCCAATCTGTTGTTGTGTATCTTTGAGTTTGAGCCAACCTATAACTGACCTGCTAGCACAATTGCCCATCTTTCTCCCATGAAGCAGCTGGTAGATTTGAACTGCAAGCTTTTGGAGTGGCAGTGCAACTCCTTACCATTAGGCTACCAGAGCTTCCTGTCTTTCCAGTCTGTTGCATTGTAGATACCAGTTGTTTCTTTTTCTTGCCTATTGGTGTGAAGTACAAAGATAGGGAACCCTTGTCTTCATGTTTTTGTTGTTGTTATGTGCTTTTGAGTCTCTTGCAACTCATAGCGACTTTGTGTGCAGCTCTGAACCTTGCCCATCTCAAGCTGATTTCATCATCTGAGACACGCATATACCCCCGTTAGCCAGTCACTGGGTTTTCATCCTTCTCATCTTTAGTCTTCCTCTCTTGTGCTGTGCCTCTACCCTTCCAAGTATAATGGAACTTGTCCCTCCTGGCAACATGGCCAAAGTATGTGAGACAAAGCTTCAAAATGCTTGCCTCCAAGGAGCAGCCTGGTTTCACCCTCTTCAGGACAGACCTATTTGTTCTCTTATCAGTCCATGATATGTTCAGTACTCTTCTTTAGCACCACAACTTAAAGCATCAATTCTTCTGTCATTCTTATTCATTGTCCAGTTCTCAGATGCATAGCAAGTAATTGCAAAGACTTTGATCTTCTGCAGTAAGTGCTTCAAGTCTTCCTCACTTTTGGCTAGGTTGTGCCATCTGTATAATGAAGGTTGTTGATATGTCTTCCTCTAATCCTGATGCCACATTTGTCTTTGTTGGTTTTTTTTCTTATTTCTTTTTAGTTTATTATTTTGTGTGTGTGTGTACCGTCAAATCAGATCTGACTGGTTCAGGAGGAGATTGCCTCTCCTTCTCCAGCACAGCATCTGGTGGATTCAAACTGGTTATCTCTGGGATTGCATTGCACACATTTGTCTCTGTAAAGCCCAGCTTCTCAAATTATCTATTCAGCATATAGATTGTAAAGGTGCAATAAAGGCCACATCCCTGATGCACTCCCTTCTTGATTTTTGAACCATGCAATATTCCATTGCTCTGTTCAGACAGTTATCTTCTTGGTGTAGATAGAAGTTTCACATGAGCACAATCAAGTGTCTCTGGGATTCCCATTCTTCTGAACCTTAGCAAGAGTTTGTTATAGTTCACACAGTAAAATGCCTTTACATAGTGGATAAATCACAAGTAGGCATAATTCTGGTACCCTCTGTTTCTACTGAGATCCATTCTGATTCAGCAAAGATATCCATAGTGCTATGACCTCTTCTAAATCTAGTCTGTATTTCTTGCTGTTCTGTTAAGAGACTGTTAACAATCTTTGGAATCTTTTGTTTGCATGTGATATTAATAATGTCACACAGTAACAGTGATACTTTGTTTGCATGTAATATTAATGATGATGTTGTTATTGTTCGGTGCTGTCAAGTTCTGTAAGTAAGCCCTGTTCTATCTTGTGCCATCCTCATACTTCCTGACACACAGGAGCCCATTACAAGAGTCACCATGTCAGTCCACGTGGTCGAGGGTCTTCTTCTCCATAGCTGACCCTCTAACCTTCCTAACATTGTGTCATTCTACAAAGAGTAGACCCTTCTGGCAACATGCCCAAAGAATGTGAGGCCAAGCCTCTTCATTCTTGCCTCCAAAAAGCACTTTAGCTGCACCCTCTCTGACATAACTCTTTGTTCTTTTGGCTGTCCATGGGACCCTATGCACAATAACTCTGAATGCTACTCTATTCTGAGCCAAGCTCACTGTCTCTGACACACATTATCTCAGTTACTGTGTCAGTCCATCTCATCTGCTGCCCCTCCACTTTCCCAAGCATGACATCCTTCTCCACAGACAGGTCTCAGCATGCCCAAAGTATGTGAGATGGAGCTTCAAAATGCTTGCCTCCAAGGAGCGGCTTGGTTTCACCCTCTCCAAGACAGACCTGTTTGTTCTCTTGGCACTCCATGGTATGTTCAGTACTCTTCATCAGCACCATAACTCAAAGGCATCAGTTCTTCTGTCATCCTTGGTCATTGTTCAGTTCTCTGATGCATAGCAAGTAATTGCAAAGATCATAGTTTTGATCAGGGACACTTTAGTCTCTAGACTGACATTACTGCTCTTTAGCATTCTAGAGAGGTCCTTCACAGCAGATTTATTATACTACGATGTTGTTGTTGTTGTTGTTGTGTGCCACTGAGTCAGAACTGACCCATTGCTTACACTCCAGTGCATTTTCAGAGGCAGTATATTGGACAGGAGAATATTGCCCATTCTTCTCTGGTGGAGCAGTTGGTGGGTTGTCACCACATGCCTTTCGGATTTCAGTGTAGCTTCTTAACACTAGGCTACCCGAGCTCCCTACATAATATATTTTATATGTTGGTGGTGGTGGTGGTTGCCGTCAAGTCGAGTATGACTCATAGTGACTCTACGAATAAATGACCTAATGCCTTTCCTTAATTATCGTTGTTTCTCCAAGTTCATAAAGTTTCCATAGGCATGTGGTTTAGAAAGTGGATGCCACTCCTGCTTCCAAACCTTTTATACAACTGAGAGCTTCACCAAACACTGTCCTCTTTGGGGAAACCATTATAGTGTTTGATTCCCCAATGGCACAAGGTTAAGTATCATATCAAACCCATATTACCTCAGTGCAGCAAATTGATGAAGAGTGATGTGCAAAGTAGAAGAATGTTCCTCCAAATATAACAACACTGGTCTCACTTAGCAGTGGTTAAGTGTTGTAAAGTCGAATACAACTCATAACAACCCTGTGCACCAAAGGCCTAAACTGTGCTTTATAATTAACATAATTTCATATTTTATATATATATAATATATATATATATATATGTTGTTGTTGTTGTTGTTATGTGCCAACGAGTCATCTGCAAAGGCAGAGATTCTTCGGTCATGTTTAGTCATTGTCCAACTCTCTGATGTATAGCAAGTAATTGTGAAGACTATGGCTTGAATCAGGGACAGCTTAGTCTCTAGACTGACATCATTGCTCTTTAGTGCTTTGGAGAGGCCTCTGACAGTTTATTTCCCTTATGCAATTTGTCTCTTATTTCCTGACTTCTACAAGCTGAATTTGTTAACAACTTCATTCTCTACTCCATTTATAATGGTGATGCCAGTTTTCCCAGTGGTGAGAATCTTTATCTTCTTGATGGTCTTAAGTTAGTATTGAAGACTACAGTCCTTGACCTTTGGCAGCAAACAGTTTAGGTCCTCAATTTCAGCAACCAGGTTTGTGGCATCTGCATAACGCAAGTTGTTGATAAGTCTTCCTCCAATCCTGATGCCATATCCTTCCTCTAAAATCAAGACTCTCAAATGATCTGGCCTGCATATGGATTGAAGAGAATATAGAAATAGAGCCATGCAGTGCTTTTTTTTTTGTTCTGTTTTAATAACTGCTTCCTTGTCCAAGTATAGCTTTCACATGAACACAATCAAAGTGTTCTAGGATTCCCATTTTCTCAAGATTAGCCACAGTTTGTTGTGATCCACATAGTCAAATATTTGCCTTTGCATAGTCAATGAAACACAGACACTCTCTGGTACTCTTTGCTTTCAGGCAGGATCCATCTGACATTGATGATAATGTCTCTTGTGCAACAGCCTCTTCTAAAACCAGTTTGTATTTCTGCTAGTTCTCTGTCAGTGTACTGTTCCAGGTGTTTTGGGATAATATCTTCAGTGGGATTTTATGTGATACTGTTCAGTAGTTTTGACACTCTGTCAGGTCATCTTTTTTTTTTTTTTTAATGGGAAGAAATATGAATCTCTTCTAATTAGTGGGCTAGGTGGTTGTCCTCCAGATTTCGTAGTACAACCTGGTAAGCATGTTCGGGGCAGCATCTGTTTGTTCAAATATATCAGTTGGTATTCTATCAATTCCTGGGGCCTAGTTTTTGCAGATTCCCTCAGAGAAGCTTAAACTCCTTCATTCATCACCATTGCCTCTTGATCATATGTTAGTTTATTAAATTCTTCTGTATCAATCAATTCCTTCTGATACACAGAATATGTATTTATATACTTATGTATAGATATGAAGATACAGACATATATCTCAAATGCCATGAGCTATAGTGAGACCTCAGGAGACACTAAAGAACCATCAGAAAGGAAGGAAGTGATGCTATGCTGTTTTTTTCCCTTTTTCTATCCTGCTTGTTCAAGTACTTCACCTTCCCTCCTGCCCTTTGCTACCACACACTTGCAAAAACTTCTCTATCTCCTTGTTTCTTTGGACTTACCTTATTCTTTTCTTATCACTCTGCCTGCTAGTCCTTCTCTGGATATGCATATCCAAATATAACAGCTCCAATCCAGCTTTGTGTGTGTGCTGAGTACTGTAGAGTCTGAACCAACCCATAGCTGACCCTCCAGCAGATTTTCAGAGGCTTTTAATTGCATGGGAGGAGGTTGCTGATCTTTGTTCCTCAGAGCAGCTGGTGGATTCAAACCACATGCCTTTGGGATTATACCACTATGAAATGTCTAGCTACTGAAGCCTTCACTTAATTCCAATTTTTAATCTCAGGAGAATCTGAACTGGTTTGTCTTGAGTCCAGTCACAGCCAAGGTAGCAATGCAGACAGCTTCTGAAGACCATAGTAGAGAGGCTAGTAGAAAGGATTTCTCTGGAAAAGACATAGATTAGCATTGCAGAACTTTCCACAAACCCTCCCACTTGATATGTGTATGTAATACAATTGTGTCTAAAACAAAATATGTGGTAGAACTGATGACATTTTAAAATCAGCTAGTATTTGGGACTTCCTACATGTGTGTTATGTATCAGATGCTTATATCATTATACAGTTTAGTTTATAACTGAATATTCAATACATATTACATTTAACACAGAGTAAGTAGACTGCAAGGCACCTTGTTGGCACAGTGGTTACGCACTCAACTGCTAACCAGGAAACTGAGAGTTCAAACCCATCAGCTGCTACACAGAAGAAAGATGTGGCAGTCTTCCTCCATAAAGATTATGGCCTTTCTTTTAAGAACTATTTATAAAGAACCAAATTGAGAGCAGCAATTTGAAATATTAGCTAGGAACCTTAGAGGGCAGTGAATTTATGTTCATGGAAGAGGACCAACTCAGGAAAGAAGAATACAGATAGTTGTACAACTTGGAGAAAGTCACTGTCACCAAATAGTACATGCAGAAACTGCTAAATTGGTGTATGTTTTGCTGTGTGTGTTCTCGGAAATACAGCAGCAAAAAAAAATTAAAGCCTAAGGACAGTTCTGCCTTGTCCTGAGGCTGTCGTTGTTCTGTAGTTGCTGTCGTTGTTCTGTAGGGTCACTATGAGTCAGCTCTTTGGCAGTGAGTTTTGGGTTAATTGGAGCTTATCATCAACATCTGCTTTCTGGTGGTAAGTGCCATTTTATACTCACTATGACTGTACTGTAAAACTTATCAAATTGTGTTGTTACTTTCAACATTGGTCAGTGAGTTATTTAAAACAGACACCTGCCATCTTCTTTCCATTTACTCTACTTTCAACAAAGCTTCAGCAAGACAATTGCTCTGTGATTGCATTGCATAGAAATTTGAATTGTAGTTAGCATCCTTGTCTGATTTGACTCAGGGAATGAGGAAAATGAGACATGAAAATAGTTTTGAACTAGTTGAAAAACAGAAAAGTCTAGAGAAGCTGATTTGAAGAGATGGGATGTAGAAATGAAGAAAGTGAGTAAAGAAATAAAGAATAAAGAAAGTGAAGAAAAGTTTGAGTTTAAAATGAACTTAAAAATACTTGGGTTGTCTGCTAGTCTATGAGTAAGAAATTGCACTGCAATCCAAAAGGCATGTGGTTCGAATTCACCAGCTGCTCCACAGGAGAAGGGCGAGAAGGGCGTGTTTTTCTGCCTCTGAAAACTTGCTGGAGGGTCAGCGATAAGTCAGTTCTGACTTGATGGTACAATCAGCAACAACAGATATCAAACTGACTGGGGAAATAGAATTTTTACAAAATCATTTCAATATTAAATCTTTCATTCCTTAAAACATTTTCCCCATTTTTAAAAGGTAATTTAATGAAAACATAATAATGAAGAAATTTATTAGGACATTATATGAATGTGATACTTAAGATGTTGTTTTGTTTGTTTAAACAGGAACAAGAATGGTAAGTCCAGCATCTTTAAGAAAACTCCTGGAATCTTGTAAAGATCTTTCCTTACTCGATGTGTCCTTCTGCTCACAGATTGATAACAGAGCTGTACTAGAACTGAATGCTAGCTTCCCAAAAGTGTTCATAAAAAAGAGCTTTACACAGTGACTTAATGTATGTCTTATAATAAAATTTGTGTGCTTTTTTAGGGCTTTATTTTGGAGTTGGTTTTACTTTGTTGCTTTGTTTAGTTTTCGTAGTAGTAGGGATTAAAACATTTGTAGGTTTTAAAGAAAAATGTCAAATTGCCCATTAAATCAAATACGGCTACAAGTGAGTGTTCTCACAAAATACGGCCAGCATTTTTCTTCAGTAGCTCAGTGGCTGATCCTGTTTTTACTGTACATTAATCAGTGATAACATGCTTTAGACAGAAATACATTGTTTAATAAAAGAATGATGTGAAGACATTTTAACTTATTTTTAAAGGAATAGCGAGCAATATATTATATTTGTGTAGAAATGAAAATAATTTTCATACCTCCATGTAAAGAATATTGAATATTTTATTTAGTCTTATTACCTGGCCAAAATTTTGTTTGCTATGTACAGAATTGTCAGAACTAGTTTGAGAATGAGGCTTATTTTTCAAACTGATGCATTTATTGCAAGATAAATATTTTTTTAAGTAAAGTGTTATCTTAGAATTTGTCTTTACTGATAAAATGCATACATAGAAAAACTCTTAACTGAATTTGTGGCAGAGATAAATAAATAATTACTTGCTTTTCCTGCATGTCAGAGTACTTGCTGTCAAGTGCCTATTGTCATTTGTAATGTGTAAAAGAACAATTCAGTCTTGGCTTCATTGAAGTGCACTGGATAATATTGAATTGTGTTCTGTCTGCCTATCATCTAAAATCCACTTCAAACAAACAAATATTTCTCCTATTCTTACATAAATTGACTACTTAACAGTTATTTAAAAGAAAAACAAAACAACCACATACTTTTGTTTTTTGAGGGGCAGGTGTTGATTATGTTTAGTAGCGAGTTGTGTGTTGTATAGCTAACCCAAAGGCTCTGCAGTTCAAATCCACAAGTCACCCTGCCCAGAAGAGCAAAGACTGGCAGTTTCCTCCCACTGGACTTACAACCTTAGAAAACAGATGGAGGGTCCCTAAAAATTGGAACCGACTTAGCGGCAGCAAGTTTGAGTTTTGACACCTAATTATGAATAAATTTACAGTAACTGTTCAACTTGAAATGGTTTCTTACCTTTAAAAAAAACCCCACAAAACACTTCTATAGGTTTACCTATTTCACTACTGGCTAAGAGCAATATAAATATATGGTTACAATCAAGAACAAATGGTAAACAATAAATAGTTTCCCACTCTTAAACAGATGCCTTAAATTTTTTTCTAGAGGGAAAGATTTAAGGCTTCTGAATTCAGCATGAACTTTATATTTTCTTCTGTCCCAAGTACCTTAAATAATTAAAAATCAGCTATAATAGGAAAAAACCAAAAATTGTTATGTAGACGTAGCGAATTGATTTAGCTCTACTAACAATCTGCATTACGCAGATGACACAACCCTGCTCGCTTAAACTGAGGAGGACCTCATGCACTTGCTGCAGAGGGTCACAGACTGCAGCCTTCAGTATGGACTGAGGCTCAATGTCAAGAAGACAAAGATTCTCATCACTGGACCAATTGGTAGCATCAGGATGGATGGCAAAGAGATTGAGATTGTTCACAGCTTCAGTTTCTTCGGCTCCACGGTCAACACTCTTGGCACCAGCAGCCAGGAAATAAAAAACGTATTGTGATGGGAAAGTCTGCTGTTAGGGATCTCTCTAAAGTACTCAAGAGCAACGGTGTCTCTCTGAAGACTAAGGTGCACCTGATACAGGCCATGGTCTTTGCAATCGCTTGTTATGCATCAGAGAGTTGGACAATGACTAGGGAGAACAGAAGGAGAATTGATGCCTTTGAGGTGTGGTGCTGGAGAAGAGTATCGAATATACCCTGGACTGCCAAGAAAACAAACAGATTCATCCTGGAGAGGGTTAAATCAAGCTACTCCTTGGAGGCAAAGATTCTGGGGCTTTGTCTGACATACTTTGGGCATGTTGCAAGGAGGGACGGGTCCTTGGATGCTTGGGAGGGTGGAGGGACGGCACAAGAGGGGAAGACCCTCTATGAGATGGATTGATTCAGTGACTGGGGTAATCGGGATGGGAGTGTCAGAGGCAATGCGATTGGCACAGGATAGAGAAGGGTTTAGGGCTGTTGTACATAGGGTCGCTATGAGTCGCAAATGACTCGATGGCACATAACAACAACAACAATAACTAAGAAAGTAGACAAATTATTTTCTTAATTTTCAACTTATACAGTTTGTTGTGTAACAAAATTAATTCTGCCACTTGGGGCAAGATGTTATATAGCCCAGAATCCCCATGTCCTTGAGTGATGCTGTGGAACTGTGTGGTGTTCATTCAGTAGCCACTAGCCAGGTGAGGCTATTTTATCCAATGAGAATGGACAGCACATTAATTCATGATTCATTTCCTCAGTTGCACCAGCCACATTTCAGGTGCTTAGTGGTTATTTGAAGCTAGTGATTATCATATTGGACAGCACAGCTGTACGATATTTCAATTATCATGGAAGATCCTCCAAAAGCACTGTCCCAGCATTTCTTATTTTATGTGTTCAGATATTTTTAAAGGCACATTTAAACATTAACATAGTTAAAATATATCTGTAGGCAGTTTTTTTTTGTATTCTTAATAAAATATATAAGAAAGCATTTTTCAGTGTTTTTAAAAGAATTAATTTACCCATGTGGTAAACAGTAGGCATTCAATAAGCAGAATATATTATTAAGTCATATATGTAAAATTTTTAAAATGTAAATATTGTCAGTTATTACAAGTAATACTGTTTCTTTTTCTTAATATAAAAACTTTAGTGTTGTAACACTTAAAGTATTAAAAAATGAGTACAGTCTTTATTTATGTAGAGAACTATCTTTACATTGCTTTCCTGGTGATACTCCTGTTCTCTCTCAGCTTTCTGTCTCTCTAATCGAAGAAGCAAGAAGTAGTTAGTAAAGGGGTTGGCTGTCTTTCATTATCATCTTTATACGCATTCATCTATGAATGTGTGCAAGGAGTTTCTATATTATTTTATTTAGTGGACCTTTTAAGGGGATGAGACGTTAACTGTGTGAAATAGCACCTTTGTCATAAACTAGCAAATAACAATGAGTTAATACTAACTTTGTGCTTGACACTGTTTCAGGTGCTTTAACTACTGTTGTAATTGCCAGCCAGTCAATTCCAACTCATGGCCACCTTACCTGGGCAGCTTAGAACTCTTCCACAAGGTTTTCAAGGCTGTAACCTTTCCGAATATATTTATAAGCCTACCTTCTGTAGCATCTCTGGGGTCTCTGAGTGAGTTTGAACTCTTATCTTTTTGGCTTGCAATTTAGTTCTTGCATAACAACTGTTTACATCACCCAATGACTCCAATTAGTGTGGTAGGACAAATCAGGACATTTAGTTTGTATATCTGATAAAACATCAGGGATTGCAAATGACAGTGTCTGTTGACATTGCTGTTCATTAGCTGTTGTTTAGTCCCCTCAAGTTAAGTATGACTCGTACAGACCCTATGAACAACAAATCTGAACCCTGTGCTGTTATCTGCCATTCTTACCACCTATTCTTTGTATTCTTATCACCAGAGACATTTGAGGCCATTGGTAGAAACACTGTATCAGTTCATCCTGTTGACAGTCTTCTGTTCTTTGCTGACCTCTACACCTTTCCAAACATGATGTCATTTTCCAAGGAAAGCCTCTCCTAATAACATGCTGAAAATATATGAAGTCCTTACCTACAAAGAGCACTTTAGCTGCACTTTCTCCAAGACATATCTTTCGGTGGTTCATAGGATTTTCATCAGATGCATAGTGGTTGATGGGAAAGACTATAATTTGAATCAGCCACTCCTTAAAACTGTTATCATTGCTCTTTGGGGACCTTGGAAAGATCCCTGGCAACAGACCTTCCCATTGCACTACATCTCTTGATCTCCTGACTGTTGGTACCAAGGGTGTTGATTGTAGATCCAAGCAAGATGAAATCATTGACAATTTCATTCTTTTCTCCATCTAGCATGATATTACCTGTTGGCCCAGTGGTAAGGATTTTTGGTTTCTTGATTTTGAGACATAATCCATATTGCAGCCTGTAATTCTTAATCTTCTGCAGCAAGCACTTACAAGGAAGTTTAGCATGAGATATATTATATTCTGCAAAGTACTTGTTGAATAATATTGTAAATGGCCATAAACCTTAAATACTTTACACTTTGTGAATTTGACCAATTTAGCCTTTTTTTTTACTGTTCTGTGCACGTTTTGCCACCATCAGTTGCAATATGTCATAGCAGATTGTACTTCAGGTTGTAGTGAAGTCATGTTTTCTCTACTTTTTAGAAAACATTCTCCCCTATAATTGTTCAGACTACTCATGGTGCTGACTCTTTCTTTGCACATCTGTTATTGACTTATCAAATGAACAATTACTAAACAGTATCAGTAACATCTATTGGCTCACAAGAGCCAGTGAAAACGACTCAAAATAATGTGTCTTAGTTTTGTGGTTTGTTTTTTTTTTTTTAATTGAATATTGATGGGTCCCCAGTACTCTTCAAACAACTACTCTTGCTAAAATGCTATTAAGTCTTATGTACATTTGTTTACTGTGGATCCACAACTTCATCTGTTGCAGTTATACAATTAACTCATCATTGATAAAAGCTTTTCTTTTAACTTGGCTGGAAAATTAGTGACTTGGAAACTTCCTTGGGCCCCAAGTTTATTTTCATTTTTTATTTGTATAAAGAAATTCCACTGAGATGGCTTGATTTAAATTTTCCAATCTTTCCAGCCACTGCATCCTTGTAAATTGAGAAGATTGTGCTACATGTTTAGTTTTTCTAGAACATCTGTATTAGAGCAGCTGTAGCATCTCCATGTGTTGGAATAAACTTACATGAACAACTAACAGTAACAACCTAGTGCCATAGTATTTTACACACAGTGCTTTGCCATTTAATTCAATAAGAAAATAATCAACTCCCTACTGTACCTTTAAAGGAAACATTTTCACATCTTTTTTCCCCTTCTTGTTTTGATATTAGTGGTGTGCACCAGTACCAAAAATATAAAATATTGTGGTATGATGATATATGTGGCATTTGAAGAGCTGTTAGGTTGTAACTGTATCCGTGCAGTTTGTAGTGTGCCAGGCAGCAGTGTAAAGGGGTGAGAGCTGCACTCAGGTCTCTGCTGGAGCTCCTCAACTCTGCCATTGTAGTGTGAAAGCAGCCATAGACAGTATGTGAATGAGCATGGCTGTGTGCCAATCGAACTTTATTTATGGATGCTGAAAGTTGGATTTCACATGTTTTTCACAAGTCACAAAA